GGAGTGGGTGGGGGGGTGGCCTGTGGGAGCGGCAGCAAGGTTCTTCCAGCCTTGGAGGGCTACGGGACCCGCGGCAGGGGAATCTTTGAGATGGTGGTACTGGCAAGGCGACGTTCGCAATCGGAGCCAGTGACTCTGGGCTGTGGGGTAAGTGTGGGTTCAGCGGCATCACTGGAGTAGGTCCTGTGGCGAAGAGATGGTGCCTAAAATCAGGCAACTCCTAGGTGGGTGAGTCAGGGCCAGGCACTGGCGAGGCATTGGAGGTCTCCCTTCAGGGTAGGTGCTGACATGGACTGGGTCAGAAAGGCTGATATCTTCAACTTTTTCCTTCTTTATTTTTCTAATTTATTCCCATGACCTACAACATTGGGCTATTTAGTCCTTTAATTTTCTTTGTTTGCTAAGAAATTAATCTTAAGTGTCTGTACCTGTTTCTTTCATTATTCATTCATCATGAGATGAGAACAGCGCTGACCAGGCAGCATTTATTGCCCAGAGGGTAGTTAAGAGTCAGCCACAGTCTGGAGTCACATGTAGGCCAGACCAGGTAAGGATGGTAGTTTCCTTCCCTAAAGGGCATTAGTGAAACAGATTGGTTTCTCCTGACAATAAATCATGGATTCATAGTTATCACTAGATTCTTAATTCTGGATATTTTTTAATAGGATTCAAAGTCCACCCTCCAGCGTAGCAGGATTCAAACCCAGAACACTCCCTTGGTCTCCGGACTAACAGTCCAGCAACAATACCACTAAACCATTTCTTCCCCACCTAGGTACCTTTGTACCCAAGCTGGCACTGCAATGTAGTGACTGTAAACTTTTCACTGTATTCATTTGACTACATGCCACAATAGAGCTAATTAATTCATTCGATTAATTTTTGAAGGCCATGGAATGCAGATAGCGCAACCCGGATACAAACTGCTTGCTACAAGAAGGGGTCTTTCCTCAGGGCCTCATATTATTAACATCCTTCTTGTCTCCAATCTACTGCCCATGCAAAGGGTTTTTTACACCTTATCTAGTCTATTCGGGCACCCCATGGGCACTCTTGATTTTTTGTCAAGGCCAACGTTTCTGTTTCAATTTGTTTCGTTCATTCAATTTAAAATCACATAGTTTTGAGGAAGGGTCACTGGACCCGAAACGTTAACTCTGATTTTTTTCGTCACAGACGCTGCCAGACCTGCTGAGCTTTTCCAGCAACTTCTGTTTTTGTTCCTGATTTACAGCATCCGCAGTTTGTTCGGTCTTTTTTTTGGAATCGCCCAGTGGTTATACCACCGATGGAAACCATTCCGCCCATCGTGCTTGCACCGGATCTATTCCCTAGCACCAATCTCCTGCCTTTCCCCATGCCCCTGCACACGATTTCTACGCAAATTAGCATCCAATGCCCCTGTTGAAGATTTCAACCGAATCTGCCTCCACCACATTTCCAGGCAGTCCAGTTGAGACCCTCAATACTCACTGTGTGAGAACATATTTTTTGCATCGTGCTTGCTCCGTTTGCACATCACTTTAAATCTATATTCTGTCGTTTTGTTCCTTTTACAAGCAGGAACCCTTTCTCCCTCTTTATCCAGCCTGCTGCTGATTCTGAAAACTCCCACCAGATTTACTCTTAACCGTCTTCAAGTGTGCAGTTTGTCAGATTGAACGTGGACCCTTTGTTCTTTATTCATTCACGACATGAGGGTGTTGCTGGTTAGGCCAGCGTTTATTGCCCATCTCTAATTTCCCAGATGACAGTCAAGAATTAACCACATTGCTGTGGGCCTGGAGACACATGAGGAAGTGAGCATGGCAGCTTTCCCTCCCTAAAGGACCTCAGTGAGTCAGATGGGTTTTTGCTGACAATCAACATGGTCATCATTAGATTCTTAATTCCAGGCTTTTACTTGAATTCAAATTTCACCCTCTGCCGAGGCAGGATTTGAAATCAGTTCCCCAGATCATTACCGGGGTCTTTATGATTAATAGTCTGGTGATAATACCACATGGCCATTGCCTCCTCTTATACCATGAATTGGAAACACTACTGACCCCAATTTCTACCTCATCACTCGGTGAAAAGGAGCTATGCTGAGGACCTATTGCCTTCTTGCCTTGTATTCCTTTCAGTCCAGAGGAACGGGTCTATTTGACTAATCTGGTTGGATCTTTGTTTAAATGTGCAGTATTGGAGGGGTGGGGGAGGCGGGGGTGATGTTGTGGAGTGGGGTATAAAGGCATTATCAGGGCCTCAGGGCCTATGTTTGTAATATTGGTTGTAATATTGGGCTCACAGTCTAAGGATACAGGCTGGGCCATTTAGGACTGAGATGAGGAGGAATTTCTTCACCCAGAGAGTGGTGGGCCTGTGGGATTCTCTGCCACAGAAAATGACTGAGACCAAAATATTGAATGTTTTCAAGAAGGAGTTGGTACAGTTCCAGGGCTGAAGAGATCAAAGGGTAAGTGGAGAAACTGGGAACAGGACAGTGAGCTGGATGATTAGCCCTGGTTCTATTGAATGGCCCAGCAGACTTGAAGAAGCTGAATGGCTGACCCCTGCTCCTGTTTGGTACTTTTCTATAAACTGAGGGGGCTGTGATGGTTTCCCCATCAGGTCAGTCCTGTTGGGAGATGTAGGGAGTTCTGGTCTGTGTGATCAGTAACCCTGCCCGAACTCTCAGGCAGCCTGGATCACCCATAGGTCCCTGGTTCTGACACGGGATTTAATTTCAGAATGTGAAGTGAAGGAGGCAGTAGACGGGTGTTTCAGGGCAAAGAATCTCTGCGTTTGTTAAATGCAAAGGTGCGCATATAACAAGAAATAAAAAAGGCAAAATAAACAGGGAAATAACACAAACGTGAACAAAATACAAGAGATAAAAAGACAAATTTAAAACAGTGAAACTGACACTATCAGTTATTAACTTAATACAGGCTAATTACTATTAGAAACTGAAGGGTAGTTTCAAACACAGAAACTTTAATCAGACTTCCTGATCTTGATCTTGGGGTTCCCTGCACTGTCATCATCCCACCTTCCCCTCTCTGCTAGCTAGGTTGGATACTTTGGCTCTTGAGGGAATAGGCTCACCGCTGGGGATAAACATGATTTTGAAATACAGCTGGCTGTTCCCACTGCAGTAGCCAGTGTTTCGCTGAAGACTTCAGACGGTGTAGGCCTTTAGTCTGGTTTGAGAACTTGGTTTTCCTTACTTTATGGTGGTTTTATGAGCCGGTTTTCACCTCAAAATGTGTCTGAAGGCTCGTCAGTCACCCAAAATCTCTGACTCTGCCCTTACATCTGTCCACCTACCTACCTGTTCTAAAACACTCCTTAAAACCTGCCTCACTGACCAATAGCTTTGTTGTCTCACCTAATATCCCCTTTCAATGTGGCTCAGTGGCATATTTTGTTTACCTGTGCCCCTGTGAAACACCTTGGAACATTTCATTGTATTCAAGGTGACATACATATTCTAATCAACCTGTTCAGAGATGTTATTACACAGCTTTGGAGGAGGTGGGACCTGAACCCTGGGCCTCCTGGCTCAAAGGTAGGGATATGACCACTTTGCCAGATGTGGAGATGCCAGTGTTGGACTGGGGTGGACAAATTCAGAAGTCACATGACACCAAGTTATAGTCCAACAGGTTTTTTTTTAAATCACAAGCTTTCGGAGCACAGCTCCTTTGTCAGCTGTAGTACTTTGTCCGAAGAGGTGATATATAAATGCACGTCACTGTTGCTTTTAAAATCAGTGTCCCTGCTGAGTTGTCCACTTCGTACCTAGTAATGTAATCATGACAGTCCTTCACGTCTCCCCTTAAAACTGGAAGTCAGTGTTACCTGATATTTGCAGTTTACCATTGTGCATTCACCGAGGTAGGGATAGAATAACAAGCCACACTTACTAAGTGAAACAGTGCCTTCTTTTCCCAAAAGAAACATCTGTGTGCACTCTTAACCCCTTACCTCCCATCCGCGAGGAGTTACCTCCTTTACCTGAACCAGTCGAGGCCTTGAGGAGCAGCTTATCCAACCTCTCCTCCTCTCTGGTGTCACTCAACTGCTTGAGGTCATTCCACGTATTCTCCACCGCCGCATCCTCGTCCAAGTCTTCTGCCTCATCCTCATCCGGACTATCTTCTTCACTGAGGCTGAGATTGGCTTCCATGTCGGAATAGCCCCTCGCCTCCTCTTGACCCTGATGTTGTCGAGCCTTACCCCCACTGTGCATGGTGGAGGGTTGTGACCAGCACTCTGTTGGGGTTTCTCAGTCAGCTTCCAGGTGCTCTGGTCAGCCCTCTTTCTCAATACGAATGTCACTAGTAGGCTCAGATCATCCCTGTCCTCGATTGCCCCTTTCCAACTCCCTACTCCTTTATTAATTGCAGCAGGGACAGTTTGCACGAAGTCACCTTGATTCTCCACTGTACAGTAACCAGCAATAGTCCCAGGCTCTGCCCTCCTGTTTTGTTTTCTTGCTGAGTGACTAATCCTGGGTGTCAAAGTACTGACGTTGCTGAGTACAGTGTATGGGTTTCGGCAGGAGTTAAATATTCTCGGGAAAACGAAACTGAAAAAAAGCTTACGTAATGCATGAACAGAAACAAAGTTGCTGGAGGAAGTTCTAAGGAAGAGTCACCGGACCTGAAACGTTAACTCTGATTATTTTCTTTACAGATGCTGCCAGACCCGCTGAACTTTTGCAGAAACTTCTGTTTTTGTTTCTGATTCACAGCATCCGCAGTCCTTTTGTATTTTTTTTGTTACGTAATGCATGATCTATTTAAGTTTCGTTTCCCTTCACCAGCGAATGCGGAACATTAATTGTTTTAGAGATAGTAGGAACTGCAGATGCTGGAGAATCTGACATAACAACCCGAAACGTCAGCCTTCCTGCTCCTCTGATGCTGCTTGGCCTGCTGTATTCATCCAGCTCTACACCTTGTTATCACAGAACAGTAACTGCTGAGTCAAATGTCCAAACTCCTTAAAGAGAAATAAATTTAAACGCAAACTTTTTTTTTTCCTTAAACATCACTCTTGTTTATACAGCATATAAAAATAAGCAAGTGTTGTTGCAACTGTATAAGGCACGAGTGAAACCCTATCTGGAATACTGTGTACAATTTTCATCCCTTTACATGAGGAGGAATTGTAGTTGTGTTGGAGGCAGCTCAGAGGAGGTTCACTAAATTGATTTCTTGACTGTCTTAGAACATAGGACAATACAGCGCAGGAACAGGCCCTTTGATCCACCATGTCTGTGTCAGCCGTGATGCCATTCTTAACTAATCCCATCTTCCTGCACATTGGCCGCATCCCTCTATTCCCTACCTGTTGGCTGTTTCTGTCGAAATGCCTCTTCAACATTGCTATCGTATTTGATTTATTGTCGTCACATGAATCGGGATACAGTGAAAAGTGTTGTCTTGCATGCTCCACAGGCAGATCATACCATACAAAGTGTATCAGGGTAGCAGAACAGAGTGCAGAATACAGTGTTACATCCCAAGACAGATCAGAATTAACATTTGAGAGGCCCATTTAAAAATCTGTAACAGCGGGGTAAAACTTCTCTTGAATCTGTTTGTTCATGTGTACAAACTTTTATATCTACTGCCTGATGGAAAAGGGTGGAACAGAGTATAATTGGGGTGGGAGGGGTCTTTGATTATGTTGGTTGCTTTCCTGTGGCAGCCAGAAGTATAGATGGAGTCAATGGATGGAAGGCTGGTTTGCATGATGGACTGAGCTGGGTTCATGATTCTCTGTAGTTTCTTGTGGTCTTGGGAAGAGCAATTGACAAACCAAATTGTGGTGCATCCAGATAGAAAACTTTCTATGATGCATCTATAAAAATTGGTCAGGGTCCCTGTGGACATGTTGAATTTCCTTAGCCTCCTGAGGAAGTAGAGGTGTTGTTGTGCCTTCTTGACCGTCGCGTCAACATGGATGGACCAGGACAGATTGTTGGTGATCATCATTCCCAGGAATTTGAAGCTTTTGACCACCTCCACCTCTGCACAATTGATGCAGACAGGGGCATGCCCTCCACTCTGCTTCCTGAAGTCAATGACCAGCTCTTTGGTTTTGTTGATGTTGATGAAGAGATTTGTCTTTACATCATGCCGCTAATTATTCAATCTCATTCCTGTATTCTGTCTTGTCGTTGTTTAAGATCTGACCTACAATCTGACCTGGGTGATAGATATAGGACAGATGTCAGAGGTAGGTTCTTTACTCAGAGAGTAGTAAGGGCGTGGAATGTCCTGCCTGCAAAAGTAGTAGACTCGCCCACTTTAAGGGCATTTAAATGGTCATTGGATGAACATATGGATGATAATGGAATAGTTTAGGTTAGATGGGCTTCAGATTGGTTTCACAGGTCGGCGCAACATCGAGGGCCGAAGGGCCTGTACTGCGCTGTAATGTTCTATGTTCTATGTTCTAATCTGACCTAAGATCTGACAGCAAACTCATAAATGGAGTTTGGGTGGAATTTGGCCACACAGTCATGAGCGTATAAGGAATATATCTGCTTCGACCACCTCCCCTGGCAATACATTACAGGCAACTACAACCCTCTATTTAAAAAAACTTTCCTCTCGCATCAACTTTAAACTTACCCCCTCTCACTTTAAACCTATGTACCTTAGTATTTGACATTTCCATTCAGGGAAAAAGCATTCTGATTATCCACCCTATCTATGCCTCTCATAATTTTGAATACTTCTATCAGATCACCCCTCAGCCTCCAATGACCTTGCAAAAACAATCCAAGTTTGTCCAACCTCTCCTTATAGCTAATACACTCCAATCCAGGCAACATCCTGGTAAACCAAAGCCTCCACATCCTTCCAATTTTATGGCCTCCAGAACTGCACACAATATTCCAAATGTGGCCTAACTAAAGTTTTATAAAGCTGAAACATGACTTGCCAACCTTTTATTCTCAATGCCCCGACTGATGAAGGCAAGCACACCGTATGCCTTCTTCACCACCTTATCCGCTTATGTTGTCATTTTCAAGGATCTATTGGCTTACACACAATGATCCTCTGTATATCAAAGCCCCGAGGAGTATTGTCATTTACTGTACACTTTCCTCTTGCATTTGACCTCCCAAAATGCATCACCTCACACTTGTCCGATTTAAATTCCATCTGCCACTTCTCTGAGACAACAAGGTGCAGGGCTGGATGAACACAGCAGGCCAAGCAGCATCATAGGAGCAGAGAGGCTGACGTTTCGGGCCTAGACCCTTCATCAGAAAAGGGGGAGGGGAAGGGGGTTCTGAAAT